GAACAGATCAAAATTATCACAGAACCAAATCGAAAATGGGAAATCTTCGTCTCAACTATTCCTTAAATGTGCAGATTGAATACAATTTAATTACACTTCTACGGTACAGACCGTCTTAAAATTCAATGCACCCAAATCAATACATATCCCGTCACAACAATTCAAGACCAAAAGTCAAACATAGATCAACAACAAACCTAATTGCATTGTTCAATCACAGAAAAAAAAGTTAATAAATAAATCATCAAAATTTAAGAAACCTGATGTTTGCCGCACTGTTCGCAAGTGGAACAGGGTACATAAGTGACAGTGCTGCCTGTATCAACTATCAGAGCGAATCTCTGCGGCGGCGTCCCGATCCAAAGACGAGTCGTGTAATACCTGCAACACCGATTCACAACAGAACACAACTCAGAAATTCGAGATCGGATCTCCCAATCGGAATAAGGAATGCTGAAATTAAAAACAGAGAAGCGGATGTTGACCCGTTGAGGAGGAGATCGTCGTGGAGGGGCATTCGGGCGCTGGGGGTGGGGCGGTTGTGGAGATGGCGGCGGGGATGGAAGTCCTCCTTGGTACGTTGCTGGTTGAAAAACAAAGGTAGAAACATGGCGGTGCCGCCATTACTGCTGCTGTTGACGAAGGTAATTGAATCTCCATGCGGCGGAATCGAGACGGATGCGGCAGCGGCGGCGGAGGCGGCGGAGCAGAGGATGGCGTAAGTGAATGCCCAAGCCATCATCATAGGGATTGTTCAATCCGAGGCTGGGCTGAACCAGCCAGTAGTTGTGATGTGATGGCTAGAGAGAGAAAGAGAGAGAGAGAGAGATGCGTACAGAAGAGAGAGAGAAGACTCGGTCGAATGTTACTAACGCGCGGAGGAGAGCTTTTAATTTTCCATTTAGATCTTGATTGTGTTAATCTATTATTAATTCTAATAAATAATAATTAAACCCAAAAAAATCCTATTTCTACATTTTTTTTTTGAGAAAAAAACTATTTATATTTTGAAATTAAATCTAGACACTAAGGGCAACGTTTGGCTAAGTTTATTTTAAACAGTTGATAAGTTATTACATCTGATAAGATATTTTAAGAGCTGATAAGTTGTTACATCTTATTTTTAGAATTAATTTTTGGGTAATTCCACTTTCCCGCCTTGTACTTTGGCTTGATACCACTTGACCCCCTTCTACTATCGATTGCATCGGTTTTCCCCATGTACTCGAAAAATTATCTCAATGCGGCCCTCGTTGTTAGTTGTCAAACATTTGATCTTAACACCGTTTGGTCTAAGCTCTGAAATTACAAAAACATCACCCCTCCTAGTTTAAATAATTATTTAATAACGAGAAGGGAATTAGAAAAACAAAAAAATAATAATAAACAATTCAAGACAACGAGAAAGCATAGTCTACGACGACATCCACAATTTTTTTTAAATTTTTTTAATAATTATTTAAACTAGGAGGGGTGATTTTTGTAATTTTCAGACTTATATCAAACGGTGTTAATGTTAAGTGTCTAAAAACTAACGGCGAGGGCCACATTGAGACAATTTTTCAAGTACATGAGGCAGATCGATATAATTAAGAGTAGAAGGGGGTAAAGTGATATCGAGCCAAAGTACAAGGGTGGAAAGTGAAATTTACCGTTAATTTTTAAAGTGTTTGTGTAATGATCATATAAACTATTTTTACTCATTATAAGATCTTAAATAAAAAGGTGGGATAAATATAACTTTTAAAAAATATCTTATTTATTCTCCAACAAATTATTTTTCAAAAATTAAGATATTTTTCTTAAAGTATTATCAAACACTTTTGAAGAGTTTATAAGCTCTCAAACATTTTATAAGCTCATTTTAACAACTTATAAGTTTAGCCAACAAGAGCTTATAAAATGTTTTTAAGAATTTATAAGTACTTTTAAAGTGTTTGATAATTTTTGTAAGAAAGATCTTAAAAATTCAAAACAATAAGTTCTTAGAGAGCTTTTAATTTATTTATTTTCAAAAAGTATTTATATCCGACATTTCAATTTGAGATCTTATAATGAGTAAAAATAGCTCAAAACCCTACTATCCAAACACTTTAAAGATTAATTATATAAACAAAATGTAATAGGTTATCTCACCTCTTAGAATAACTTATCAAATGTCAGAGCTTATCAACTATTTAAAATAAATTTAACCAAACATGCCCTAAATAAATGTATCCACCAAATGGTTTCACTATGAGATCTAGAATTTCATTTTTGTAAAAATATTTTTTTTTCAAAGGCATAATTAGGTAAAGGTACTCTATCAATTTATTTTTCTTCCTTATAAATAAGGTCACTTCCTATATTGGTTGACAAAGCCATTTTTCAAACCTTTCTTTAACAAAATACTCTCGCATTGCTTTTAGCTAAAAGTTTCTAATAATTTGATTACTATCTGATCCGATCCGATCCAATTTTTGAAAATTACTAAACATAAAAATTGTAACTCTATTAGTTGGTCAAAACAACTTTGTACCAAAACAACTTGAATCAATGCAATGCATTGTAAAACAACTTTGTACCAAAACAACTTGAATCAATACATTCTAGTTCATATGGAAACATTGTGGTCAAAATAAAAGTCTTTGGAAATAGCACAAATTATGATATGATTTGTACATAATTTTGAGTTTAAAGTTTTATTTTTTATATGATCCAATTCAAATACCAAAACACTACGAACACAAACTTGTAGACTCATTAGTTGTTTTTCTAATGAAAGTTTGAATCAACATAATTGAAGTTCGGATGAAAAAGGTGTGGTTAAATTGAAGTGTTTTTTCTTTTCAAAATAGTACGATTCACGACATCTGCATAATTTCTAACTTCAAGTGGAATTCTGACTATTATTTATAATATGAAAAAAAAAGTTAAATATGAAAATTTTATGTCCCTTGAATCTAAATCATAACTAAGTTTTTTTGGTTACAATAACTTTGAATATATATTGTATATTTTTTACAATAACTTGAGTTTTTTTATAAATGAATTCACATTTGTTGTTTTACAACAAACACCCGAATTTTACAAGTGGATAATTGTAACTTTCTTATTGTTTTCTGGTTAATCTATAATCACGGGTCAGTATTTCAATTTGATAATGTTGATTTTTAATTATTTTCGCTATGCAGTTGAAATTCAATTTGATAATGTTGATTATTAATTATTTTCGCTAGTGCAGTCGAAATTCCGTGTTCTTCTGTCAAATTGAACCATGTGTTTTAGACGCTTGTTGTTTTGCTTCGGCAAATATGTATTGGATCTCGTAACAAATTTTACAAAATTTGTATCACCTAATTTCGTCGAATGCTTCCTCCTCCGGATCCACACATTCCCCACTTTGAAATTGTAAATCACCCTACCCATAAGTCAAAATCACATTCTCGACGTTTTCAGTTCCCCAATTTATATTAGTAAGCATCTCCCACAAAAAGGTTTATATTTCGAATTAGTTGGTCTTAATCCTATCATAATTAAACTTTTGATGAACCGAATAGTATATTTCAAACACTTCTTGAAATTGGATTTCTAGATTGAGCATTATATAAATCATACGAATCAAATAGTAAATCGTAAAATTTAACCGATTCAACGTAACTATTTTTTACATTTAAGATTCATTTAAAGATTTGAATCAAAAGATGTAGAAAGACTTCGAATCGTAAACTGTAATATTTCAACAATAGTTACTGAATCAATTGTCTTTGTATTCGTGCAACATTAATCAGGTTTTCTTTTTTACATAAAGTAGAAACATATAACTTTTTGGATAAATAACACTTAACCCTTCTGTGGTACAAGCTTTTGCAGATGACCCCCTTGAAGTTTGAAAGACGCAGTTAAGTGGTTAAGTTTGACGGAAAAACTAATGGAAGCTACCCCATAGACCAGAAGGGGTTTATGTGCATGATATTACGAGCACAAGGGGATCATCTGCAAAAGCTTGTAATCACAGGGGGGTTAAGTGCTATTTACCCTAACTTTTTTACATGAACTAATAGTGAAAGTGGTTCCACAAGTAATATGTATCAAACGTTACATTGTTAAAAAGTCCGTAGTAAAGGGTAATCACGAAGCATTTCCTCTTCTGATAGAGTATCGTATTCATCTTGTGGGGTCCACAGTACCTCGACTGCCTGCATTCAGGACACACGCAGATCGAGAGACAATTAAAGAGGATGTAAATAAATTTAAAAAATAAAATAGATCAGCCATTTTCGAGTGAAGATGTACCATGCTTTTTTTTTTTTCTTTTTTTTTTTTTTTTTTTTTACCTTAGTTGTAGTTGATGGTATGGATGCCAGCTTTTGTAAAGCTTCTTTCAAATCTTTACTGTTATTTATACAAGGCAACTTTAGTTTTTCTTCAGCAGCTAACAAGATAGTTACCTGAGATGTTTAAATAGTAAATAGATATATATATAGTTCATGTAATAACAAGGGCAAGTATCGTAAATAAATTCGCATGAGAGAAATATTAAGGAACATTATTTTGACAACGTATCGTAAAACCGAGTTTTGAAGACTTACGACTATATGCTCGTTTCTGAAGTCAATTGGTCTACGGATTGTTGAGCTTTGCTTCTTCATGTTGTTGAAGTTGACAAGCGTCTCCTCGTCAAACTTACCACGTTCTTCGATCGAGAGTTGATTGAGTCTTTTTTCTCCTTCTTCCATGTTCTTCGTCACGTCAATCTGCATTAATTTATGAGACCAATTTAACGCGAGTCTAATAATAATTATGGGGCAAATTACTGCCACCCCCTGAGATAGTCAAATTACGAAAAAACTCTCTTGTTTGGGTAATAACCACCACCCCCAATTATGTATTGTCTTATACGTCCACCCTTACAGTTTGGCGAATATAAG